AATATTTATGGATTTCAGCGAAAACCGTCAGTTTTACAAAAAAAAAAGAGAAGCACATTTCCAACGGCAAAAATATATCCAGAATACATATCGTCGTTCAAAATACAAAACCGCGTATCAACAAAATACAAAACCGCGTATGTGAGGTTGCATAAATTATTTTCTAGAGAGTAAAAACACTCATATTTCAAAATGGTTACCTGTTTTTATAAAGGATTCGCATTTCTGGTTAGAATATTTCAGGACGAATGGATAAAGATTGAGCCAAAAGCTTGTGTGAGCAAATTCAATATTTGGCATCAAATGTCAATTATGCGGTTTTGCAGAACGATACGCGGTTTCCTTCTTTAAACGACGACATATGGAAACGAATGCGCAAAATCAAAATTACCAAAAAAATGTTTAACCACTTTTATTAAAACTAATATGTAACCCCCGACAATGGGGTGTGCTTTACTAAACGTTGTTACGATATTCTTAAGAAAACTTATTACGCCTGACTTCCAAAACATAAATTTTTTGTATAAGTACAAAGTATAATGTTCTATTACGTAGAACTACAAAAAGCTTGCAATGGGCACGTTCAAAAGGCGCAACAGCTCAGTAACTGTTGCCATTGCACCTTCTGAACGCGTTGTTGTGTACTTCTGATCAACTGAACAGTTGCGTGTTAGATGATCGTAATATTTTTCTGGTAATTTGAGACAAAATGTTGTTGAGAGTTGAATTTGACAGCTAATGCATCAAGCCGTTCAGAAGACCCATAACGATCACTGATTTTTTTAGCAACGGTTGCGCTCAACTTCTGCACCTTCTGAACCTACCGAATGCGAACAATAGTTGTTAAGCCAGCAAAGGGTGCTGTACTCAGTGTTGCCAGGTCTTCGGCATAAGAAAACGTCCGTCTTGGTCTGAAAAAACGTTATTTCCTAGGTCTTTTTCAAATGCACAAAGAATTGTTCTTATTAAACTTTTACTGTATACAAAGGTACATATGTACGTAAGGTATATTAAAATGTCATTTGCTCTGTCACATTTAAAATTCATTCTAAACTGGTTTGAGATCGTTAATATAAAAATCATTTTATACATACACTTCTGATCAGCTGATTAAGTCATCAAAATTTTGATCGATTTTGGCTGTTTCTCTTTTGTTTATTTAATGTTTCTTATTTTTCAATAAAAGCCTAGCTCATTATATAACAAACAAAATATAAATCCACATTTCAAACTCTGTTCAGAAATTATAAAAAATCTGCAAAATTTCAGCTAGACTTTCAACTTTTTATTCAGATCTTTTAGAACTTTTTTGGGTATGCAGTTTGATAGCCCATTAAATTCCAGGGCAATCATGTGGAAATTTGAAGGTACTACAGAATCGTGTTAATTTTTAATATTATTTTTTTCTTTCTTGTAGACACTTGGTTAAGTGATCGGTTGTCGAAAATGCTAAATTACGTTCAGCTAAGATAGAACGTAGCAATATCTCAGGCTTTTGCGTTCATTACATTTTCAATAATGCGACCAATTGTGTCATTTTATTTATGCGCCTAAATTAGGGTTAAGTCATCTGTGTCCAAAGAATAAATATTTTTTTAAGGAGCTACTACAAAAAAGGTTGTAAAGATTTATTAAGAAAATAATTCAAAATCAGTTCTACTGACAAGATTTAGTAGCAAAGACAAATTACTGGGAAGTTAAGAAACGTCATTTTTTTCACAAAAAAACGTCCAAACGTCAACAGGATAAAAAAAAACGTCCAAATAACGTTAAAAACGTCAACCTGGCAACGCTGGCTGTACTCTGTAAGGCATCCAATCCCGGACCATCTTGTGAAACCGGGATATTTCGGGATATCATTACCATTAATATAAATATGCTAACAAATTAGTTTTGTAGTGTTGCTTTAGTGCCGATACTATAAACAAAAATAAGTTTGTGTTTTAACCAAAGAAATATAAACGTCTTTATTTTATATCAGTTTAAAAAAGTAATTACAAACCAAATAAACAAAAAACTATGGAACTGACATTAATTTACATACATTGCAGTCGAAGTAATTTTTACAAAGAGTAACAAATAAGAGATCATCTTTACACTTGCATATAGTATATACATATACTTATGTATGTATAAATACAAGTCGGACGGATTTCGTTAAAAAACAATGTTGTCATGTCTCCGCTTCGCTTAAAATTTTTCAGGGGTTCTATTCATGAAATAAGCTAACACGTATTCGATGATTTTTTTTCTTCGGAGATATGGATCTTTCAAAGTTCAAATTCAGTTCAAATTCATTCATTCATGTACTTCTCAAAATTATTATATCTCGGGTTCTGCTCATCGTAGAGACTTCATCTTATCGTCGTTTTAAAGCTAAAGAAACGGGCTTGATATTTCTATATATAATGAAAGATAATTTAGCTATTAACAGTTGGACTTTTAGATGTTGATTTTCACAGTGAATGCCAGTAAATTTGGGATTTAAAATTACACCATCTAAATGTTTGTTTAATTCTCTATAAAACAAATTGTTCCATAAAATGGGCGTTTTTCCAGAACTATTTTTAAAATATTTTTTTTATGACGAGATGGTTTAATTTGTAAGAGTGTGAGAATTAAACAAGGATTACCATGGTGTAATCTTAAATCCCAAATTTACTGGGCTTCACTATGCGAATCAACTTCAAAAAGTTCAACTGTTAATAGCTAAGTTAACTTTAGGACAATCATGACCATCATGTATATATAAACCAGATTCTTTAACTTTAAAACGGCGTTTAAGGTGAAGCTCTACGATGAGCAGAACCCAAAATATAAAAATTTGAAAAAGTACATGATTAGTCAGAATCACAAAAAAATCCAAACTTTTACAGATCATACATATATCCGAAGAAAAAAAGAAAAAAACGTGAAGCCAATAGAAACTGTGAAACCAAATTTTGTGTCCGATATGAATAAGCATGCCTCATTTATGTTTTGCATATTTTAATATAGAATAATAGTAGTGTTAGAATTGTAATACATGATTATTTGTAGGGTTGCTATTTTATAATTATTTTATGCCATTACAATGTCTGAATTTTGTTTTTTAATTTCGTCGTAAATTAAATTATATCCCGGGGTCCCGGGATCCCGAGGGCTTGACCCCGGGATTTTGGGACTCAAAACGGTGATCGGGACACCCGGGATCCGGGATCCCGAATTCCGGTACTAGATACCTTAGTACGCTGGAATAAATGTTGGATCCAACGCTCTTTGTATGAACTTGAACGGCAATCTGGGCTCGAATCGTAACAGTCTTGAACGAGAAACTCGTCACGTAAAAATGCATATTTCGGATTATAAAGCTGATGCCACATAAAACGTTTGCTTCGCTTTTCTTGACAGATTCATTTTGACAGATAAGATGAATTGTATGAAAATGCACAAAGCATGCCACATAGATCGTTGAAGCTGCAGCGCGAAGCGAAAAGATGGCCAACTCCCATCTTCTTGCGCGCTTTGACAATCAGCCGGTTTAATATTTATTTTCCTTCGTCCAAATTCCAGTTTTCGTGTAGAAATATAAAACTTAGTAACATTGCTGATATTTTTAAAGCAAAATATATAAAATCCACAGAGATTTTGACGAGTAAAAAAGCCGTACAAAATCGTTTCCTTGGCGTTCATTGTGGCATAGCTTTTGCGTCTAGCGGTTTGCTGGCAAAGTTATAAATGTCACGCAAAGTCACAAAGTTTTATCTGGTATTAGCTTAAGGTGTTCCTATACGATATGTATTATATATGCATGTGTACATGCCACTTTTTACATATGGAAAATGCCAACATATCGTTTAAACTCGCATTAGATTTGTTTCTGTACAAAGCAGATGCACGTACATACGAAATAGAAATGTTTATATTTTCATCTGACACACAGATAGAATCATCTGAGTTTAGCTTATTTCATTTTCAAAGATCGCATTATTAAATAGTTAAATAAAGACTGTGAATTTGACAGACATACGCAATTAGATATGTATTGAAAAAGTCACATTTACAGATGCAAATACATATCATGTAAGAACAACTTCAACAGTCGTGAACAGCGTTGCCGCGAGCTTGATAAAAACGTATCAGTTGCCAAGCAGAAAAACAGTATCAAAAGCAAACCCACCTGTTTTTTTAGCTTTTTTTTTGAAAAACAAGAACTATTTATTTTTTATTTTAATAAATAAAGAGTTATAATTAAATTAGTTATAAAAATGCTTAATATTAGGGTTATTCCATTGAAAAAATGAAAACGACATAAATTTAAATATGCTCTAATTATCTCTCTTTCAGTAGTAACCTCTTTTTAAATGACAACATTTCATTAACCTGTGGGAAAATATTAAAAAAATTGTAATTTTTGTCTACTTTTATTTCATGCATAATTTCTTTACACCAGTCACAAAGCGATGGCCCACCAGTCACAACTTTAAATATTTTTTTATATTTCTACGAAGACTATATAAACCTAATTTTTACTTAAAACAAAAGAGTATAAATCATATTTTACAACACAAATATATCGTTCGTGATAATTAAGTGTTTTGGCTAAAATTCATCTTTCCAAGAAATGCCATGCCTTGCGACGTCTTTTACAGTTGTCACGTAAAGGAGCGCAAGCTCAGTGTTGGATTCGTAGTAGGTGAGATATGGATTTAAGCCAAATAGTGTTACCCTATACTCTGAATTTCAGCCCCCAGAGCCACGGTCCGTCATCGCGAGTGTTACCGAAATCATGGCTCCAAAAAGTGCAGTGTGGAGAGATTTCGAAAGATTAAAAGATAGAAAAGCGAAATACAAAACTTGCCAGAAAATTGTTGCGTACTCTGGAGAGACAACTAATTTGTTTGTACACTTTAAAAATTATTATTCCACAGGAAACAAGACAGTAAGTTACCAGAGTATAAATAACAGTGAATATGTTAGGAGTAAATACAGATAAATATATTTTTATAAAAAAGGTAATTGACATCAGCTCGCATGAAACAACTACTCAAAAGGAGGATCGCAACAATAATTGTCCAGTTATTTCAAGTGGGACTACTACACAACCAAAAATTGACACACTATTTGCAAGAAATAAATCGTTTAAAGGTAAAAACAACTTTTGTAGTTATATACCAGATGTTTCAAGGAAATATTTCTGTAATTTGAAATTAATTAAATTTGATTTGGAAAGAAAAAAAAATGTGTACATATAATTGAAAAATGCTCAAACTATAATTTCTTTTCAGAGGGTGGTCCCCGAGATGCAGAAATTCGAGAAGCTCTCCTTTTTATGATTTGGAAGGACAATTTAAGTTTATCCAGAGAAACAGGGCTTCAAGTTTTTCTGCAGCGTTACCATTCCGCTTTGGACAACGCCCCATCGTTCGACTTTAACTAACAACATGGAAAAAATATGAAATTTCATCGAATTATTATCGCGATGGATGGGTGGAAAGAGACCCATCAATGTAACAGTTTTTTAGGAGTCACGATCCATTACGCTGAAGGGTATGAAATGCGGTCCTTGGTCCTGGGGGTCGATCATTTATTGGAATCCCACACTGCAGACTACTTGGAAAGTAAAGCTAAGGAATTCCTCTATTCTTGGAATATCAAACCAAGACAAAAATGTAAGAAAGTCTAAGTTCGGGCGGAGCCGAACATTAAATACCATAATACATATTAAGAGTTTGCAGTGCATTTCGTACAGTATCCGAGGACGCAGCCCTTGTTGATACAGGTCACACACAATAGATCTCTTGAACTACCACTTACTCTGAAAACGAAAACTGCAAGAAACGATACTCTGGTAAACTGGCAAATGCGATGGGACGCAAGTAGCAATGGACTTTGGACCCACCGATTAATATCAAAACTCGAACCATAGATAAACCGTTCTCATGGTGAGTTAAATTTTCATATAACCCAGTTGCTTACAGGTCACGGCTGCTTTAAGGCTTACCTCTTACGCTTCTAGCCGGGAGACACTGATACATGTGATTCCTGCGCTGGCAGCCTTACCGCAGACGTCGAATATTTATTCTTCTACTGCTCCAATTTTGTCCGAGAACGGATTTATCTGAGAGATATCTTTAAAGTAGACCCAACACCTGAAAATATTTTCTCAAATATGGTTCAATCCTCAGAAAACTGAAATGCACTTTCCAATATAGCAGCAAGAAGAGTTGAACAAGGCAGAAGAAGAGTCTTGGTAAGTTAAACCAGTATCCTGAAAATAAAATAAAAAACATACCAAATCTCTATGAAAATATAAGGCAGTATAGGCACCGCATATACCGAGTTGTCAATTTGTGAAAGTTTATAGACAATTACGTTTTCAATAGACTTCTATTCCCTGCAAATCAAAGTTCCCGAAATTTTAAGGAAATCGTTAGGTGTATCTCATTTCTGTAACGATTTTTTTACGAATTTTCAAAGAAAATTATATGAAGTAGTTGACACGAACTCGTAAAGAAATTTCTGTACGAAAAATAAAGAAAATTCTGGAAAAATTCTGAAAGATATTCTTCACATAGCACCATTATTTTCGTTGCTTCACAGATTTTCTTGCGAAATTTCGTAAAAGAATGGAAGTGTGCGTAACTTATTTCATTTTAGAAAATTCGGCAAAAAATCGAATTAAATCTTAACGAATTCTTTAAAATTTCTTTACAATGCAGAATGCTCTGAAAAAATGGTTGGCAGGGTTTATATATATTTATGTATCTATTATATGTTCATACGCATGAATGCATGTACATATGTACAGTGAGAACAAAAGTATTGGCACAGTGAATTTTTCGCCATATATGCAAAGTTTTTTATTCTAATTTTTTTCGATAATTTTTATAAAAATATAGTTCATTTTACACCAGAAAAGGTAATAATAAAATCTCTAAACTTTGTGTAAAACTCTGGAAAATTCATTAAATTTGCAACTTTTTATTCAGACTTTTTAGAAAAATTCTAGGTATGCAGTTTTATGGCCCATTCAAATTTAGTACAAAAAGGTTCAAGTTTAAAGTTGCTAGAAAATCGCGTTGATTTTTGGCAATTTGTTTAGTGGATGGAGTTGCTCATTTTCTCCATACAAAAAATAATTATTAACTAGTGAACCCGCATGGCGCCAAAACGCCAATATTCAATTAAATTTTTTAAACAGGTGAAACCCTATTCAAAAACCTCTCAAAATATTCCTAATGATTAGTCTAACCATTTCTGAGTGATGAGAGGTCTCGCATGGTGCCGGTTTTCATGTAACTTCAAAAAATAGAACCTATGCACATCTATGTAGAATCCCAGTTCTTTAATTTGACTTCTCATTTTGGAAATTCGAAATAACGTTGCAGATGTGATGACCTTAAAAAAAATAGATGGCAATTCTAATTAAAAATATTATCAGCCTATAGTTTTCTTAAAACTCTTTTGTTTCACACTAATATTTCGATAATTCATTTATGTATCTTTCCTATAAGTAAAACAAATTCGACTTTTCAAACAGGTGGCAACCTCTTTAAAGGTATTTTCAAACTAAAATCTTTCGCCTGGCATTGTTATACATATTTCAATTAAATCTCGTAATATTAATATTCTCGTAATAATAATATTAATAAATCTCGTAAATAAAGTTTAGAAATGAACTATTTTCAAACCCATTTCGATTGACACCTATCTTTTGACAAGCCGCGTAACTTACTAAATAATTTGAGCTTAAGTTTTTCGACAAAAAAAAACAAATGTTCAATCTTAAGATTTCTTACACTCGTTCTTTTGATAACCATATTTTAAAATTTCATGTAACTTATGTATAACTAAACGAAATACCGCTTTTAAAACAGGCGACAACCCTCTTAAAAATTATTTTTGAACTAAAATTTCCTTAAATATTTTTCGCCTGACATTGTTATAAATATTTCAAGTAACTGATGAATTAAGTGGAAATTCATTTTTTAAACACGTGGCACCCCTCCTAAATATAGCTCTTTAATAAAGAATTTTAAACCCATTTCCATTGATTACCATCGGTTAGTAATTCATTTATTTTATTAAATAATTTTAGTTTAGCCCTCTATGCTAGGCAACCCTCAAGCACATCAAAAATGTTCTAAATTATCAAACTAAGTATTTCTTGAAGCTCTTTCATTTGACATCCATCGTTAATATTTCATATAACATGGGTATAAAATAATTCAATTAGACTTCTCAAAGAGGTGGCAAACCTATTCAAAATATTTCCAAACTACTATCTTCTTAAACCTCTTTTGTATGACACTCATATAGCGATACCTTATTAACTTACCAAATTCCTTTAATTAAAATTTCATTAAATTTTTTTTTAACATGTGGCAACCCCCCTATACGTAGTTAAGTAATAAAGCCTTTTCAAAACCATTTCGATTGATACCCATATTTAATAACTGATTTAACTTTTAAATTAATTTGAGCTTAATTTCTTAACAGGTGGCAACTTTTTTCGAAAAAGTAAAACCTTCTTGAACATTCACACGCTAAGCCCTTTAATTTGGTACGTCACTTTTGAAAATCGAACGCACGGTGCGGATTTGAGGGAATTGAAAAGTAAATAACTTGAGTTTAATTATTTAACAGGTGGCAATTCCTTTCAAAAAAATAAAACTAGTTTGCACACCACAGGCCAAGGGCTTTAATTTAACACCCCCTTTTTGAAAATCGAGTGAACAGTGCAGATCTTTTACGCTGCACAAAAAATGCCTTCGCGTATTATATATGTATATAGATTATTTATATATACCTGTTTTAATTGCCCCATTGCCTTAATTCAAATTGAGTTTGATTGCTTAAACAGGTGGCAACCCTCCTACACGTAGTTAAGAAATAAAGTATTTTCAAAACTACTGCGATTGGTACCCAAATGGTAAATATTGATTTAACTATTTAAATAATTTGAATTTAATTTTTAAACAGGTGGCAGCCCTCTTCAAACACTTTAAAAGTATTCTAAACGTTCAAACTAAAGATCTCTTAAGATTCATTCGCTTGGCGTCCATAGTTTTATACTTCATATAAATTAGACTTTTCAAACAGGTGGCAACCCTCTTCAAAATGTTTTCAAATTACTACGTACTTAAACTTTATCGTCTGGTACCCATACATAGTTCTATTAGCTAATTCCCTTAATTCAAATTGAATTTGATTTTTTTAACAGGTGGAAACCCTCATAAAGTTAAGTTAAGAAACAAAGATTTTCAAAACTATTTCCATTTATGCCCATTTTTAAAAGGTGGCAACTCTTTTCGAAAAAGTTAATCCTTATTGCACACCTACATCCAGAGCCCTTTGATATGGTACCTCACTTTTGAAAATCGAACGAACGGTCCAGATCTTTTATTCGGAACAAAAAATGCCTTCGTGTATTATTTTGAACTTAATTTTTTAAAAGGTGGCAACTCTTTTTGAAAAAGTTAAACCTTATTGCACACCCTAAGTCAGAGCCCTTTGATATGACACCTCACTTTTAAAAATTGAACGAACGGTGTGGATCTGATGCCATTGATTATTAAATTATTTGAATGCAATTTTTTATCAGGTGTTAACTCTTTTCGAAAAAGTAAAACCTTATTGCACATCTACGGACCAAGCGCTACTAAATTTGAATGGGCTATAAAACTGCATACTCAATGTTAATGTTAAGTTGCAAATTAGTGTGCAAATTTAACGAATTTTCCAGAGTTTTACACAAAGTTTAGAGATTTTATTATTATGTTTTCTGGTGTAGAATGAACAATATTTTTATAAAAAATTATCGAAAATAAATTAGAATAAATAACTTTGCATATATTGCGAAAAATTCACTGTCCTGTGTTCACGATTGGTGTTATCAGTTTTAAGATATCTCCTTTAGCTTCCGAGATATTGACTACAACTTTTTCGATTATTTAGTAAAAATATAGTTGGTGATGCAGTCATATTAAACTAATTAAATTGAGTAAAAAGTGTCGTTAATTTGGTAGAAGTTTTGATCACATTTTGTCGTATTTCATACAAAGTGGCTGCCAAATTGTGGACAAATGACGCTTACAACAAAATTTGACTAAATAAAATCCTTCATAAACTCAAAACTAATTAACAATAAACATTAAAAAATAAATATTTTAAGAATTTTGTAATCTAGTAACATTTTCAGAGACTTTGGAGAAAATATATCTTCGCGTTTTTTAGAAATTGCATTCCAAACTTCAATCGCGATTTCCCACAACCTACCGAAATTAACATACGACAATCTTTTACCCAGGCGACGATACGGGAATGTGTGCATTAAGATTGGAGTTAAGTTACGTCAACTTAATATAATTCTATCAACACCAAATATATTTAGCTGTCGTACATAACTACATAAGTATGTCTATTTACATTTGTAGTTTACCTTTCACGTAACAGGTAAACTTACTTGTGAAAATATGTGATGGACAATAAATATGTTTTTATCGACGAATGCAATTTTGAATGCAAAAAAAACGCTAATGAATGGCGCCAAGCAATTAATCTAATGAACTGAACATCTAATCATTCACGCTACGATAAAAGGCCAATTAGCGAGTTCGAACATGAAAAAATACAAATGTACCCATATGTATGTACAAGTACGCAGATAAACGTACTACGTACATATGTACGTGTGTGCCCGTTTTAAACTGCATAAAAAGTTTGCGCTACATTCATACATATGCAACAGGGCTGCTGCGAATATTCGCAACCGCGAAGCATTTAAACATTCGCATTCACAGTAATTAATGCGGAGCTTTCGCGAATCCATATTGTGAAAGTGCACTTATAAAACTTACATATATCTGGCAAACAAAATGACAAATTGTAGCTAACCATTAAGGTTGGGCATTTTTGCACTACCACTGAACTGCACTATTCAGTCATAGTTAAAATGCAGAATTCATTATAATCATTTCAGCCGGAAACATCTGGTTCGGCTAGTTAGCGGTGTTTAAAGAACGATCTGGTTGCCAAGGTGCTAGATTCTTCAAGTGGAGATGAAAGTTAAGAGGATACAACCGACATAAGTAGCCCCGAGGCTATGCTCAAAAAAGAGTTATTTTGCATCGCAATAAAAAATAAATAAATATAACTGAAAGTCCTCTCAACTTGTGGAGCGTCAATACAAACAAATTTAAAATATTGTCAAATTACGCACGCTTATTTAATGGTGCTGGTTTGATTTAC